TGGTTGCTAAGTCACTGACACAGATAGGAAGAAAAATACATAAGAAAACCCTAATTAACCAGAGACACACAGAGACACATTCATTTTCATGACCAGAAGGGTCTATTAGATTATCTCTTTTGATATCCTTTATAACACAGTCCCCAGAACCCTGTCCGGCTGCTCCTGAATAGAACCTCGTGACCTTTTTTGCGACTAAAATGTATTGTCTGGGCAGGCGTCCAGAGCTGCTCCTGTGTAGAACCTAGTGACCTTTTTGTGACTAAAATGTATTGTCTGGGCAGGCGTCCAGTCTTGATTTGAAGATGATGGATTTGATTTGGGGATGGAGGGTCCACCACTTTCCTGGGTATTATGTTCCAATGGTTAATCGCCCTAATCGTTTAAAAAATGAGTCTTATTTGAATGTGTTTGGCTTGAAGTTCCAATGGTTGGTTCTTGTTATGCCTTTAAAGTTCCCTTACCCAGAAGCATTATCTCCCAGTGAAGGATACTTCAGTCCCACACATGATCTCACAGATTATTTATGTTGGGACAAATTCCTACCCCTTTGCTCATGTGGAGGAGAACTTTCCTCCTAAAGTACTCTCCTTGAATATATTGGTGGCCGCTCTTGAAATAGGTTGATGCTCAGTTTGAGTGATGGATTCAGAATCTAGTCCATTGTTTATTTTTGTGACCATCAAAATCTGTCTTTGTCAGACCACAAGAATGTAATTAGCTAGAAAAAATATCAACATTACTTGATAGATTTCAGCTACGACTGAGCTCAGTCAAGCTACGTCTACACTGTGGCACTATTTTAGGGTACCGGAAGTATCCCAAAATAGCTATTCTGTGTCTTTTGAGCATGCCTGTTATTTTGAAATGTAACAGGATCGCTATTCCAACATCCCTGTAAGACTCGTTCCACGAGGGATGTTTCAGAATAGCACTTTATTTGACAGTGCCAAATTTCAAATTAAGCTATTTTGAAATTACCTCAAAATAAGATACACAATCTGCGTAGCACAAATTGCATAGCTTATTTTGAGGTAAGAGTACCGTGTAGACACATCCTCAGATAATAAAATATGCCTTAACTTTTAAGGAAAGGTTTCCAACACCCTCTTTCCTTTCACAAGGTGAAGAAGGTCAACAAATGTAATCCCTATTAAGGTCAGTGGAGGAGTGAATTCCACAGTTAAGAGCCTTCCACTATAAATTCTATAACTTCAGCTTCTAGGTATTAAGATATAAGGACTGTAAGGCCAGGTCTACCCTGTGGGGGAAAGGTCAGCTTAAGGTACGCAACTCCAGCTATGTAAGTAAATAACGTAACTGGAGTCCGTGTATCTTAAGCTGAGCTAGGCGCTGTCTCCACAGTGGGAGATTGATGGGAGAAACACTCCCATTGACTTCCCTTACTCCTTGCGACTGCGAGGATTACCCGTGTCAATGGGGGTGCTCTCAGCATTTGATTTAGTGGGTCTTTACTAGACCCACTGAATCGAACCCTGGAAGATTGATCACCAGAGCGTCAATCTTCAGGTAAATGGAGACATGGCCTGAGTGAGTGCTTACACCCAAGCTCTACCATCACTTCAGAGCATGGAGAGATGATTTTTTTTCATCTAACTAGAACGGTCTCAACTATTATCACCTTTCTTCTAGGATCTGGAGATCATTCTTTTCTTCAGACTGTATGTGCCCTCTTCCCCCTGCATCCTCCCCAGGTAATAAGACCCAGTTCTGGTGAAAGTAATTTACATTCCTAAGTCTCAAAGTGCTTTTCACAGGAGATAAGCATCTTTGTCTCCATTTTACAGATGATGGAATCTAAGACACAGAGAGGTAAAGTGAATCACGCAAGGTCAGCAAGCCGGCTAGTGGCAAAGACATCCTGAACAAATACTGCGATTTCAGTTCCCCTCTGCCCCCAGCTTTGTGGGACAAACATGTTTCAACATTCCCCTTACCCCCACAAAAACAGAGAAAACGCCCACCCCAGTGATTAGGACACTCCTCAGAGACATGGGGAAACCAGGGCAAGTCCCTGCTCAGGTCTTATTTGCCAGGGGAGTGCCATAAACTTTGGGAGATCCTCCTTCCTTGATCTGCTTTTGATCAGAAAAGCTAACCTTGGTGTTAGAAACCTTCCCTAAAGAAAGTGTATCAAAACAGATACATTCCCAGGAAAATTATCGGTTGTGATAAATTGGCGTTTTCCAATGGGAAAAGTGTTTCACTGAAAACTTCCTAATAATTTCCATTTAGAATCCAAATCTTTGGAGACATATCCTTTATGCTAGCCACTAGGCCAGAGTTCAGCATGTTGATTTTGGTTGGATGTATTCCTGGAGGTTTCATCACATGACATACTCTTTAATAAAGCTTAATCTTTAATTCCTGGAGATGCCAGGACAATCCTTGAGAGTCGGCAACCCGAGACACGGTAAAACAAATCCAAAATCTAGACTTCAACATTCTGTTTCTTTAACAAAACCAGAGCTTACCTGTGCAATGGAGGGATAAATCTGCACAAAAGATGGGGATGGTGTTGCTGGAGGGTTTAATTTGTTCTGAAACCTTTTTGGACCAAGCAATTGAGATATCTCAGAGCTCTGTGCTTTATCCAAACTCGTCAGAAGGTCTCGTGAGACTCCTGTGTCTGGAGAACAATAAGCACCTAGCTCAGAGGATGTGACATTTGAAATAATTCAATCTCATTGTCTCTTTTTCTTTTTGGAAAAAGTGTTCCTCATCAAGGAACAAAAGATTTAACTAGTGCAGGCCAATTTCTTCCCGTCATATTTTATTGTTAAGAAAAAGTATTTTTGACTCTGTGAAAATGTTCACTAAAAGTAGTTCCTTGATTTTTTTTTAAAAAGGGGGAATATTTTTAGTTTTAAAGCCAAAACTTTTTCAGATGATTTTTTTATTCAATGTGGGACTTGTATTTTCAGTTTGGGGCCCATTTCAACCATTCTTTTGTTTCGTTTTCACCAGAGCCGTGTCCAGACTCAGGGGTTTTTTCGGGAAAAGTAGCCTTTTCCCCTGCGTCCAGGGGAAAAAACTTCCCCTGCGTCCAGACTCAAGCCGCATTCTTTCGAAATTATTTCAAAAGAACGCGGCTTTTCTTTCGATGGCGGTAAACCTCAATTTACGAGGAAGAACGCCTTCTTTCGAAAGTTCCTCTTTCGAAAGAAGGCGTTCTTCAATGTAAAGAGGCCGTCTTCGAAAGAGAGCATCCAGATTCGCTGGGTGCTCTCTTTTGAAAAAGCGGATTTCTCTTTCGAAAGATCCGCCTGCAGTCTAGACGCGATCTTTCGAAAGAGGCTCTTTCGAAAGATGCTTTCGAAAGAGCCTCTTTCGAAAGAAGCCTGCAGTCTAGACATAGCCCAGGTGTGCAGACAGAACGGTCAAGGATCCATTGTTCAACACAAAAACTATTGCAGGTTTTCTTTTCAACCCTAAACGCGCAACATTTTTTGATTGAAAATGTAAAAAAAAAAATTATTTCCATTGAAATTGTCCGTGGAAAAATGCCAATTTTCTGACCAGCTCCAGCTATTGCCAACACATGCATGCTCCCATATAACACAAAATATAATTGAGGTAAATCCCATTATGTCAGCGGGCACTAACACATTTTGTAGGGTTTGAATGGCCACAGATCAAGAATAAGGTAACTTCTCAGAGCCCAATGTGGAGTAATGTTGTTAAAAAATTCTATTTTAAAGGACAAATACTTGGCTGGTGTAAATAGCAATCAAGGGAGCCACTCTAATTGATACTGAGTCACAGAGTTTAAAGCCAGAAGGGACAATACAATCTGACCTCCCAGATATCACAGAGCACCAGTGCCCCGAACCCACATATGAAACTCAACAACACAACTTAGACAAAGGTATTACAGCCACATTAGTTATTATGTGCCAGAAGGCAGAGCATAGGAGGTACACCATGGAATGACAGGGCCAGCCTACAACATTTTAGCACCTGAGGTGGGGAGTTCAAATGATGCCCCTATGCCTCCTCGCTTGGGCCAAAATTTTTTTACACTCTGGATCCTAGTGGCGCTCCCCTACAGTCTGGCACCTGAGGTGGCCGCCTCAGTTCACCTCATGGTACTGCAGGGAACTGATTCAGAGAGAGGTATCTAGAAGATCCCAGTAAGCCACCTCCAGAAAAAGGTGATTTCTGACCTCAAGCATCCCTGCCAGCTGGATCTGGGAGAAAATTCCTTCCCAT